GTAAGGACAGTCCAAAGCAAACAATTTAATACTAAATAAGACACGGCTGCTGTGCCGCTTGCATTTTCCATTGCTTTATCTTACTCTTTAAAAATCTTGGCTGTTTAATTTCTCATGGTAGTTGTTGCCAGACTTTCTTTTTCCTTTGCTGAAATAACACAGAATCTGGATTCTCTATAGAAAAGTTAAGTCCAATTTGCTGTAGCACACCAGAGATCTGAGAAGGTGAAATCAGTAATTCTGCATGGGTAGCAATGTATCAGTGACAATTCCTGGAACCACATCAGAGGCTGGTTTGGAAGTGAACAGGAGGCTAAAAATGGCTAATAGTGAGCCTGTTTAACTGCTAGAGGCCACTGATGTAGTAAAATCGGCATAAGATTTTACTTATTTCTTGGAGAAAGTACTACCTAACCTGATTTAGTGAATCCCTTGGAAGTCCACGTTCTGATAAGAACTCACAACTTAGCAGAGACAATTCTGAAACATTTCAAACATGATAATTGCAACAGGGTTGAACTACCATTCCGTTAAATGCCTATTTCCTTAGAAACTCTACGAAAAAGCTCTTAATTATGCAGTTTTATTAAAAGAATAAAACACATGGTAACACATGGTAATTCCAAGACATTATAACTTTGTAGCATTCAGTCTTAGTACATTGGGTTAAGAAGCTTTTTAGAAAAAAAGTGCGCATGTAGAAAAGGAAAGCCAGCACCTTGCTACAGGAAGATTCCTCTTTTGTAGCCCACAGAAGTACAGCACTAATTACTGTCTTGTTGATGGATCTGCCCAGATAACAATAGTGGGTTTAAACAAAATAATTATCTAAGGGTTTACACTAATGTGCCCTTCCCTGTGATAAGTGCTATCTTCTGCCCTAAGCGTACTCGCTGAGCTGTTATGAATGATGCTGAAAATTTGGCACACAAAACGAGACATTTATATCACTAAGTGAACAGTCTGTCACCTACAAGTGGAAGAGTACATAGTTTGGGTAGCATAATTTTTTTCATTTGCTTGTAGTCTGGCTTAGTTATCTGACAGAAATCTGTATTTTACATCACTGGATCTCCAGAATAAACCTGCTAAATTAACAGGAGATAAACTCACTGTTTAGTTTTAGAAAGGGACTAGTATGCATTTAACAATGCTTGTTCACTACAGCAGAGAAGTGCAGCATATGTCATGATGACAGTTCAGCATCTGCAAAATTACGACCTTGCTCTCTCTTTTCAGTGCATACTTGATGGCTGATCAATAAGCACTTTGGGGACTAATTAAAGTCAGTTCAGTGATGGATACTCTCACAGGATAGTCTATAGTTCAACAGTTTGGTGGACATTTGAGAAGCGGTATTGCTTATTTCATCAGATTATTTGTCGTTTGAATAACAGATCTATGCATCTGTCACATATTCACAGATCGCACATCTGTAGATCTCAGAACTCTTCATACAGTAAGTCTGTTTACGAGAATTAGGCAAGTCTGTTACTGTCTTTTGTAGTATCTAACAGTCTTTTAAAAACTCCAGGGAGAAAAGATGGTATAATGTAAAGGGAGAGAGTCATATATGCAACTTAGCATGCAAATCCTAAGCTAATTTATTGAGGAAGCATGCACTGAAATACTTGGAAGCCAATTCCATAGCTTGTTCCCATTTATTTTCCATATGTGTCTGTCTAATGCTTTCTCAAGTTAAGTTTAGCTGCTGCAATATCGGCTCTTAAAAAACATTGATAAATCATGAAAAAGGCTGGAGCTGTCTCAGCTTTCCCCAGAGGCTTGCAAAATGATGATGTCACTAGTGCATGAGATAAGCAATGCTGTCAACATAATAGATTGGACAGGAGTCAAATGCATAGGCTGAGCACTGCTTTGATTTCTAAACCAGGGTGGCTTGGGTAGGACAGACTCTGACTGTTGTCCAGCCCTCAGTTTGCTGGCAAAGGGAGGGCTTCTTTTTCAATTTTAGTTATCTTAGGGATCATTTGTACCAAGAACTTACAGAGTTTGAATTTCAAGTAGGCTTCTTGGTTCTCCATAGAGACTATGAGTTCCATGTTGTCCTCACGCAAAACTTGTCTTTCAATCAATGTATAGTGAGATGTTTTGCATTTGGTAACATGTGCTGTAAGCAGGCAGCGAGGGGGAGAAGTACTTTTCAGTGATGTCAGGTTAGCAGAGTCAGCGTGGAGGCATCTGAGCTTCTTGGTGAGAGCTGGTAGTGATGCACTTGTACTCCTTCCCTCAACAAGGAGACAAGCTGAAATGTTACAGCTGCTGCAGAAGGACATTTCTGAGGGCTACATGGCACTCGGAAAAAGTGCTTCAAAACCTGCAGTGCTTACTGCTTTTGTCCAGCAGAACAAATCCATGCTTCACCACTTAAGTCAGATGCTTTGAGATGTGCTGTTAGGAAAGCCTGAGATACTGTTGTTGTTCCCTCTTTGCAGGCAGAAAAACTGAGAGAGTACAAAAGAAAGAGCTTTCCTAGGTGGTAAGACACATGAGTTAGCCTTGTACCACCAACTAAAAAGTCTCTGGAGCTGACACAGAACAAAAGAAGAAAAAAGAAAAAAAGCGAACTCCTGTAGACTTCTGTAAAGAAGCACTCAAAAAATTTAATAAAAAGGCCAAAAGAGAAGGGCATAACCTTGTTTTTAATTTCCTTTTCCCATCATTTTCAATAGAGCCATGTCACTTTCTGTGCTTCTCAGGTTTGTTTTATAAATCGTTTCTTTATAAGTCCATTTATTCTCTTTTCAGTAATTTTTTTCCATGTGGCTATACAAGTTAGACTCCCCGGGTACAGATTATCAACAACTTTAGAAATGCCTTTGGTAACAGTGCTGGATATAGGGAGCTGAATGTGCTGTTTGGGTAAGCTGAGAAACGTGCAGATCTCAGCTCTGCAGGCTTGCCTTCTCTTCCCAGCTCGGCTAGTTTCATCTTTGGGTTTTTGCCTCATCCATGTAGACTGTGAGTTGCTGGGGCAGCCGCTGCTCCTGGCGGGTGTAGGCAGTGCTCGGGCAGGGAGCTCTGCACTCTGGTCGGGCCTTGGAGGGCAACTGTGCTACGAAATAGCAGCAGCAGAAGCAACAACACTATGCCCTGCTCTGGGCGGTTTGGATTTTTTCAGTAGAGAGCCGTAAAGATACGTTTTTAAAAATAAAACCAGGGCTACTCTTTTTGATGCATGTCTCCAACTGTTCTACCTTACTACAGGAAGTTAGTGAAGAGTTGCCTCCTTCATTTGTAATATCAATCTATGTCAGTTGTATCAGCAGCATGGCATCGGTATGAAATGGTGGCATACACAGTTATGGTGTGTAACACATGCATAATACACACAGAATCCATACACAGTTATGGTGTGTAACACATGCATACCATACATAGTTATGCAAAATTGCAGCTCTCTAAGCTTCTTTCTTTCTTTCTGTTGCACAACACTTTAAATATGCGTCTGTTCAGCTATCAGTTGGTGTGCAGTTGGTTCACGTCAGTGCACACTACGCCGTGCTGCACCGAATTTGCACCATCTAGCTTTGGTGTCCCCAGTGTTGCCATATGGATGCTCCTTAGGCTGGCCTAACTACTCAGTTACAAAAACTGCTCCTCTCCGTAGGGAATGTTTCAAGGCAGCTCCCCAAACTAGTCTGTCTCCTCCATGGGTCACACAAAGCTCTGCTGAGAGAGGAAAAGCCCATTTGATTCCTCCCTGGCTGTGTCCTTCGGAAGAGATGTGAGTGGCTTGCATGGCCTCAGCCCAAAGATAACATCTGCTGGAGAGAGCACTCTGGCACCCTGTGAAGAAGAGAGGAGGCTGCTGGCTGCCCGAGGATGCCTTCATGCTTTATTCCTTGCTTGAAACTTAAGACAACAACAAGAAAAAACAAAGCAAGCAAACAAACAAAACAAAACAAAAAAAGACTGGGGAGGTGGAAAGAAGCTTTCTGTGTTGGAGATGGGCAGAGACAGCCCTCCCCAGCAGAGGCGAGTGGTTTGTGGTGGCTTGCTGTCCACTGTGCAGCATTCAAGCTGAGGCTTTTCTTTCTTGAAGAAGAAAGGGAGGACTGGGCTGAACCAGTCCCTCTCCCTCTCTGTGGTCTGGGCAAGCATGTATTTGCAGGCTGGCAGCCCAAGCTCTCTTGGCTGCAGAACCAGCGTGCGTGTAGGGGGAAGATAATGGTATTAACTAGGAGGCTGTGGGGAAAGCATCTTCACAACTTAGTTATCAGGCGGCTCCTTCTCCAGCTCTCATCTGGTTTTAGGTTGCGCCCAATATGTTTTCTGCGCAGGTGGGAGCTACCTCTTTCCAGGTCATGGACAGCTGTCCAGCTGGCTGAGGATGTGCTCCCGGACAGAAGCTTCCCATTGCCTCTGCTTCCTTCCCCTTTCCTCAGTGCTGAAGGGCTCCTGCTTTCAAACATTTGACGTCCACAGCTGAGCTGTTATCTTAATGCTGAAGAAGTCAGATAGATATGGCACTAAAATAGATTTAGGTTTATTGCTCATTATTTCATGTTTTCATTCAAAGTTAGGAATCCTGAGGTTTAATAGGAAAGATTTTGCTCTTTCCTATCAGAGCAGTGAAAAAAAAAAAAACCCACACAAATTTTCTACACAATTTTTGACTGAAATATTTGATAACTTGTTGCCTCATTACCTATCAAAAGGTTTCAGTGATGCAAGGCCCTTCTGGGCAGAAGTGAGGCAGGGTGAGAGATGGTCTCACATGCTTACATTACAACTAGTTCTCCATCACCTTTCTCTTTATTCATAGTGCTTGGTAAAGCATTCTGAACATTTAGAATTTTAGATGTATAACAAAAAAATGAAACTGCAACCAGAAACCCTCAATCTCTGTTGGCAAAGAAACTTATCCAAGTTCCGTGTTTTTAAGAGAATGTTTTACTCAAAGACCCTGTGTTTCTCTGAAGATACCGTTGTATTTTAATTTTGTCCTAACTCTCCTTTGACTCTGTCTTCTGCAGGTCATGAAAACATACCACATGTATCATGCAGAGAGCATCAGTGCAGAAAGCAAACTGAAGGAGGCAGAGAAGCAAGAAGAAAAACAGATTGGGAGGTCAGGAGACCCCGTTTTTCATATTCGACTAGAAGACAGGCACCAGAGACGGAGCTCTGTGAAAAAGATTGAAAAAATGAAGGAAAAAGTAAATAGTCCTTTTATTTAGCTTCATTTGAAGTAAATTGAGTGCATTTCTGACATTCTTTAGCATGATATTAGACAGAGAAGTCCACCTGGGAAATAAAATTAAATAAGATACACATAATAAACTATCAGTGGATTACAGATAACTTGACTTAACTGCAGTTCAGAGAGGGGAATACTTATTCCCAATATAGTTCTTACTATATGGTTTGTCACATTTGAAACAAGATACTAAATTATCACTTAGAATTACATTTGTTATATGATAACTGGTTGGCAACTTCTTACTATATGGTTTGTCACATTTGAAACGAGATACTAAATTATCACTTTGTATTACATTTGTTATATGATAACTGGTTGGCAACTAAGATTCATTCTTGTTAATAGGAGTGTGTACTGAAATTGCTACCGGTTTTGCTACATACCAAAAATGAAGTAATTCATATACATTAATATATACAATCTTTTTCCTAGCGTCAAGCAAAATATTCTGAAAACAAGCTGAAATCTATTAAGGCCCGTAATGAATACCTGCTCACCCTTGAAGCAACCAATGCTTCTGTTTTCAAGTATTATATTCATGACCTTTCGGATTTAATTGACGTAAGTATTGGCATATTTGTTTTTATGTTTATTCTGTTCAGGAATAATACTTTTTCATTTTCTAAGGGGAATACATTAGTCATATGGGTTACCTCCAATACACTTACCATTTGTAGTATTGTATGGTATAATCAGCAGATTTCCCCTTCAGCTTTATATTTCACAAAATAAAGTGCCAATAAGATGCTGAACCCATTCCTTCAAAGTTAGAATTTTGTTTTCTCTCCATGTGGTAAGAGAAAATATGAAGGAATAACACAAAAAACGTAGACATTTCCATTTTGTACTATAAAGGGATTTCTGGGGTACAAATATTTTTTACAAGATAAGCTTCTTAAGTGGGCATCTAATAATGGTATTTTAACTCAAAAGAAGGCATTTCTTCCATGTCTTCAGAATCATTTAGTTTAATTAATTTAGTCACTGAATTGAATATGCACTGCTTTTTATTCTTATTCCATGTAGTCTGCAGAACAGACGCAATCAATCCTGTACTCTGTACTGTCAACAGAATTGTGACTGATTTTCATTAAGTTATTCCTGTGAGAATATCCTAGGAGAATGAGGTTGTACACTGATGCGTTTGGTCTCCAGAACCCATATTACTGACATTTTTAAAGATATGGAGGGAGGATCCCACGCTCTATCATGTCCCACTCTCTTTGTAAGCTGACCTCTATCTGCATTTGATAGAGAAAATTTGAAGGCAGCAAATGCAAGCTCAAGAGTGTTCATTCACTAGCAATGTAGTGTTAAATAAATCAGTGGGTATACCTCTGTGGCCCATATGAAACGCTAGATGTTTGAATATGCTTTCTACTGCAACAATAGCATCTTATTTACAATAGTAAATAACATTCACATACAGTCATTTCTGGTGGGATGTTCATCACAGAGCTAAGCTGGCTAAGCTCTGATTTGTAATATAGTGTAAGTTAATGCAGCATTTGACAAGAGGTTTCTCATTTCTACTGTCTGGAGAACCAAAGCTTGATAGAGAAGAGGGAAAATACCTTCTTGAGATGAATAGACTAAAATAGCTGCACATATGTGTTTTATTGTATGTTTTCTAAATACTGAGAGTAAGTTTACTTTGACGTTTCTCTTTTCCTGTAATTTATAAAATATTGCCTGATTTTGCTATAACTTTTTCCTTTTCCCTTTCAACCTTGTTCTCTCCAAATAGTTTTGCTCCTTTTTTTTTCTTGCTTCTCTCTAGTAAGAGATGGTGATGTGTCTTTTTTATGTTTTCGATATTTCTTGCTGTCTATCTCAACATTTCTTTTCTTCCTCTTTCCTACTCACTGTTGCATGTCTTCTCTCTTCTGATTCCTTCTGGTTTATTCTGCTGTGTATTGTCCTTGTCTAATGTATACCCATGCACCTGCACATCCTGCTCCACCCACCTGGCCTGCCCAGGCAGTGAAAACATTTATCAGGATCCCGATAAATAGATGATCAGGGCAGAAGACAAAGGACAAGCAGCATACCTGCTAGGATACCACTCAAGTGAGAAGTTGTCCCTACTTAATGGATGGTTTTCATGGTACTGCTCAAAGGATGATGGGTTTTTAGCTTCTAGTTGGGGCATGCCTGATAAATGTGAACTTTATGAGTTCTTCCTGGCTGCTGGAAGGAAGGAAAGGTCCCTTTCCCTCTGTTCCCGGCTGATCTTTCCCAGCTAGAAATATACTGATTTTGTCTTCTGTCCTGCCTTCTCTTTTGGAGCTCACCTTTCCCAGCGAATGTCTCCTGTGGGTGTTTCTACTTGGTCAAAACTTTCTCAGGTTGGAAAACGCACCTGGTTTTTGCCCATTTCATCAGTGTCCACAGAGGTTGCCGTAGCAGTGAAAGCTGAGGGGAGGAACCAGGGACCTGGAGCTTCAGAAAGAATTGCAAGGAGAAGCGAAGTGAAGCTCTCTGCATATATATATATACAAAGACAACACTCTTTGGAGTTAGTGTTTGAAAAGATATTTGCATAACCATGAAGACTAGAGTTTTTGAACTTCTAGTTTTTAATACAAATATGTGTTCTGCAGTATTTAGTAACACAGGAAAATGATACCTACTTTGCGAGGCTTTTTCCAAGCCACAGACCAATGTAGACAATAACATTTTTCTGGCAAAATGGCTTTAGAAATGACTCTTCCCGAAGGAATTTAAATGGAAAGTCTAACTGTCCTTTGCATCACAGTTTTGTAAGAGTAAACTGTAAACATGTGCAACCAGAATTTGCTTCAGAGCCAATTTAATCCGATTGTGAGCTTGTTTAAATGAAGTGTTTTTCAGACGTTTGTATTTAATCAGAATATGCTGTGAAAGCACTGGTATCTAGACAGAGTGTTTACTACTTGACAAAGGAAACACTTTTTGTAAATGCAAAAGTCTTGGCAAGATTTTAGGGTTATATCATTGGAATGTGAGACATGCTTCCCACTGTCCGTATGTTGCAACAATCCAGACTCTCTCATTCTGTAAATCTGTTAATGTAATGGTATGAGTTGGAGTTTTGAGAGCAGTAGTGGCAATTTCCTTCTTTGCCCTCTCTACTTTGTCCCTATCTGCCTGCCTTTCCGTGCTTCCCTGAACTCTCTCTCTCTCTTTGCCTGTGCAGAAGGGGATTACTTCTCCTCTATGTCTGAATTCCAGTTAACATGGAAGGGATTTAGATCTCCCCAAGCTGTTGGTGGTGCCCATAAATGAAACTGAATGCTTTCCTACGTTACTGAAAAATATGTCTGATAAAAATGAGATAAATATATGAAGGAGTGCAGTGAACTGTAGTTTTTGTAACAAGATAGGGGAGAGTTGTGGGATATTTTTAAAAAAAAAAAAAAAAATTATTTTTTTGAATTTAGATTCCACAGCATTTTCTATTTGTGAGGCTCATATGAAAAATCCTAAATCACAGTTCCTTAGTTGAACTTGATCTGAACTGTTCAACTCCTTCATTTCATTAACCAAGCTCAGAGCTTCTGACTTAAAAATGATGATGTGTTGCTGATCTTAAGCTCTAGTGATAAAAGCAAGATAAAAATATTGCTAGAGTCTTAGCTGGATGTTTTAATGCATTTAGTGAGCTGAGGGTTGGAACCAGCATTTGCAAAGTAGTAGAGGGATAAACATGATTTGTTATGCACAGTGTATGTCTGTCTTCTGCATGTTGTGCTAGAGGAATTGGAATTTTCTGTTGAATGTTTCTTCTCTGCTGACTGTATAGTAGGATCTAGTTCAACTGGAGGACATGATTAATCTTTTTCTTTATTTGTATTATGTAAAAAGTAGCAAAGATTACTTTTTAGCTGAATTAAATAAGCTTTATCTAGTATGTAGAATTATTTTTTTTTAAGATTGTGGGTTTTAGAGAAGCAAGAGTACATACCCCTGCTAATCTGTCTGTTAGTACCAACATCTGTCCATGTGGCGCATACCATTGCTCATTTACTTGAAAATTTCCATGTACTTGAGTTTATTAGATTTATCTGGGTATAAAAGGAAGGTAGGGACCTTTTTTCAGACTTACCATGCACTCATGATCTGAAGGTAAATGCTAGGAAATAGTGATCAAAACAATTTGACTGTAGTTCTACTGCTAGAATGAATAAAATATTCATGTGTTGGTCTTTCTTAGAGTGGAGTTTCTGAATCTCTAATTGCAGTCTGCGTGCTTTGGATGGTTAGGAAGTTAGGGAACATTTAGCTATTATGAACTTCATTTATTCTGTAAAGGTTCTTTGTTAATCATTCATAGAACCAAGTTTAAAACTAGGCTAGAGTGTGTGGAGCTCACAATCTTTATTACATAAGATCTCATAAATATGATATATACAGCCAGATCCCTTTGATTTGAGTGTTGATGTCTGTGTAACAGAATGATTAGAAAGTGACTTATTCAGAGGTTAAGGCTTTTTTTTATTAATTTCTCTCTCCAATGGCATTAGAATTTTATTATTATTCCTGAAATGAAATGAAGAGCAGCTTGCTTGTTTGGTTGAAGGTCTGTGATAAGCACTGCAATTTGTTTTGTTCAAGCCTAAATATACTCTGAGGAGCAATAAAGACAGTAAATGCTCTTGAGACTGTTTCAGATTTAATTCCAAATAAGAATAAAATGCAAATTACAAAATTAATTTTTCACACGTATGCCAAATGCATCACTCATCGCCCTCCACTTTGCCCAACCAAAAGTCTTTATGAATCCAGAAATGCAATAAAACTCATAGTCTATGACTTCATTCTCTTGTTTCTCATCTTCATGTCTTGCTTCACCAACTGACATCTCATCTCTCTAGCCTGTAGATTGATAGCAGATCTCATTAGCCATGCAGGCTGTATTCTGGGTGTGCTGATTAGTGAACCTCAAAGATTCATATTTATTTTGGCTAACAGTGTGGTTGCTGGCTTGAGCTTTCCAACTCTTTCTACAAATCTACAGATTTTTGCTGAAAATCTTGTATACATACCTGCGTGTGTGTTTGTATCTGCATATATATGTACTTTTTTGTAACACCAGAAAGGTTGGTGATTTTTTTTGCAAGTGTGGTCAGAGAAGATGTGGTAGAGGCAGCAGTTTAGTGGTAGTACCTTAAATTTAGTCTTAGTCATGAACAAATACCTGAAGTGCCACCTCTGTTATAGACAACTCTCTCTCTAAACTATCGCTAGTACTAGCAGATTAAAACAGTACTCTTCTTTCTGAGTAGCCATGAAGTGATATTGTGACAGAACCATTCCTCAGTTAAAATTATCTTGTCTGCAAATTTTGAAAATCTGCAGCAAGTGAACTATGGTCTGGCAGAAGTAAGAGAGTTTATTTTTGCTTTTAAAAAATAGCTGTACTCGTACAAATTCTATTTTTACTTAAATTATTGAAACAAAATTCCAAATTCAGGCATTTTAAATTCTGTTCAAAGAGCCACTGGTGATAAGGCATTGTTTCAGGTTCAGGTTCTGGATTTAGTTCTTGTTTGCTCTGCTGGCATTGCATTGCAAGAAAATGCCTTAGTGTGGCAGGATATTATGCTTCACTTGAAGAATCCTTCTTCTTGGCTGAGATGCTGTATTTGTTACCCTGTTCAGCTGCCATCACCTGCAAAAGATGACCATGGTGACAGTTATTGAGCAGATCAAGGGTTAAACAATGGAGTTCTTAGTACTGTCACAGCATAACGACTGCAATCTTACATTCCAACTCGCAAAAAAGCTGCATCAGAAACCCACACAGTTCTAATTGCAGATCAATAAGCTTTCTGTTAATACTCAGATTAATCCTCTAGAGCCGAAGTTCAGGCTCTAGATGCCTGTAGTTTTGTAATACATGGATAGTTGGCCATGCTAAACCTAGCATTGCTCTCTATTTCTCATTTCCTCTCAGTTTAATCTTCCATGAGGTCTCTCTGAAAGTAATGCACATGAAATAAAACAGCTGTCCTGATCCACTTTCTTATCAGCACTTTTAGTCTGTCTTTTTCATCCAAGATAGTGAATTAAATATGAGATCGGATTTGACACAGAACAAGAGAAAAAGACCAAGAGAGTTTTCTTTTTAGAAACAATATTTTTTAGACTGGAGGTCTTTGAAATATGGATGTGCTTTAGTATAAAAGTTGAGTGGCTGTTTTAGTAAGTGTAACACAAATTTCCGTTCTATAAATGTAAAAGAAGAGAGAGGTTAACCTATGTGTGTTTGATTGAACATGACATCTTTTTCCCATTTTCTTTAAATGGTTCAGCAACTGGTTTTTGGAGAGCCACTGTCCCATCTGCAGTAACTACCTGGAGTGCTTACTAGGACTGGGACCTTAGTCTTTCTGGAAGTTTTGTTGTGAATAAAACAGCCCTCTGTTTTCAGATTTCAAAGAGCGGT